TAGATTTAGAACAGGAAAAGAACTCAGAGTCCATCAAGTCTAATATTCTAATTTTGCATATGAGGAAACGGAGACTAAGTGCTAAGTGTTAAGGGACATATCCAAGGTCATGATCATTTATGTTGTGAGTGGCAGAGAGAGCTACTGGAATTGTAGATATGGCATCTATTTAACCACCAGGTGGCACTGCTAACCGCTTACCTGATTCTATTTAATAACGAAGCATCAGGGCCTATGCAGTCCCATGCTAACCCTGAAAATTGTGCCCATCACTCTGCTAAGAGAAATAATGGGAAGTACCAACTCCTCTGTGGTCTCAACTGTTTCTGGAAGACTAGAGTCATGGATTCAGCCCTGGTATGGACTCAGGTTTCAGAGAGCTTTTCTTTTTGGTGCCCTGTTGCTAGTTGAGAGATTTGACTTTGTCTCACCATGGTGTGCACTCATCACTTGTAGACCACAGGTGTATGTGAGGGCAGTCCAAATTCAGAGAGAAGCTCTCGGCCTTGCCCATTATCTTGTTTCCTTCATTCCTTCTCTTGTCTCTGATCCTGAACCCTATGAGTTCAATTTAGTAGGGACTGAGATATATACCACCTACCCCTCAGTCCAGGACCTAAATTTTGTCCAAAGCACCTTTTCACTGACTATCTTGTCATCTTCTTTTGTGCGCTCCTCTTTCACTTCCCTCCTGAGCAAACAAAGCCCAGCTGTCCTACATGGAAGAAAAGGGGTTGAAGGGCAAGAGGGAATACTATACTTAAAAGGAAGTAGAGAAACATTATGGCATGTGGATAGAGAACTGACCTCAGACAGGGGGTGGGCGGGAATAAGCATTTTTAAAGCATCTACTACCTGCCAGGTACTATGCTAAGTACTTAACAAATATTATCTCATTTGATTCTCACCACAACCCTGTGAGATAGGTGCTATTATTATCCCCATTTACATTTGGGGAAACTGAGGCAGAGGTTAAGTGACTTGCCTAAGGTTACTCAGCTAGTAAGTATCTTAGAGCTCAGGTCTTCCTGACTCCAGGCCCAATGCTCTATCCACTGTACCACCTAACTGCCTATTCAAGTCACTTAGGTCCCCCGGGGGTGGCACCTACAGGTTAAGAGCAGGAGTGGGGAACCTGTGGCCTTGAGGCCACATATGGCCCAAAGATTTGTTCTGTGAAGTCTGCATTCAGTCAAAAGGCTGCACTTGAGGACCTAGAGGGCCACATGTGGCCTCCAGGCTGCAGGTTCCCCACCCCTGGTAGAGGTTGTTGTAGAGTCATTTTAATTACATGCTGACTCTTTGTGACCCCATTTGAGGTTTTCTTGGCAGAGACACTGGAGTAGTTTGCCATTTCCTTCTCCAGCTCATTTTGCAGGTGAGGAAACTGAGGCAAACAAGGTTAAGTGATGGACTTGGCCAAGGTCACACAGCTAGTAAGTGTCTGAGGTAGGATTTGAACTCATAAAGATGTCTTCCTGATTCCGAGCCCAGTGCTCTATTTACACTGCACCACCTAGCTGCTGTAGACTAGAAATTCGTAGCTTCAAAGATTGAGAGCTGAAAGGTGCCTTAAAGGCCATTGAACTCAATGCCCTCATTTTACAGATGAGGGAGCTGAGGTTAACTAACTAGTGAGGCAGTATATGTTTAATACATGATTTGAACCAGCTCTACCTGACTGCATGCCTACCCACTAATTTATGATGGCTTTTAAATTGTTGAACAGCTGCTGATGTGTATTAGTTGGGAGAATTTCCCACCAGGAACTCCCTATGTTAATGAAATCATGGGTCTGATTGAAAAACAAAAAAGAGGAAGGGAAAAGGAAAACAGAAGGATGTAAGAATTTTCTACAGGGTCATTAGAATGCCCCAAGGACGGAATTCAGTCGTTACATTTCCACTCAGGCATCCCCCTGTAGGTAGTTATCTATTAAGCTTGCAAAAGGACAAAAAATGAAAATTTACTGAGCAACGAATGAGAAAATTCATAAATTGTTAGAGTTAGAAGGGACATGAGAAATTATGCAATCCAACCCCCTAATTTTATAGATGCAGAAAGGGAGACTTTTAGGGTTAGATGTGGTGCTGGAACTCTAGTAGCTCAGAATCAGTGTTGGGACAAAATGAGATGTTCCTAGTTCATTGAATAGTTGGGAAGAGGCAGTTGGCTTAGTATATCATAGTAAAGATAGCAGCAAGAATGCAGGGGCATTTGCAGTTAGAGTTTAAAATCCCAATTATGTCATTTTACTACCTGAGTGATAGTGAGCAAATTACTTAACCTCTCTGAGCTTCTCTTTCCTCATCTCTAAAAAGAGAGGGTTGGACTAAATAAATGGTGTCTAAGGCCCAGATCTTTCCAGCTCTAACTCTTTGATCTGATAGTCATTCTGTAGGGAGCCTGGCACATGGACTCATGCCCTTTTTGGTGCTTTTGAAAGTAAGCATGATGATCTTTTGAGGTTCCACCAGGGCCTGGTGGAGTAATCAATCAGTCATATTGTTGTTCAGTAATTTTTCAGTTGTGTCTGACTCTTACTGACCATTTGGGGTTGTCTTGGCAAAGATACTAGAGTGGTTTGCCATTTCCTTCTCCAGCTCATTTTACAGATGAAGAAACTGAGGCAAACAGAGTTAAGTGACTTGCCCAGGGTCACACAACTAGTAAGAGAGGCCAGATTTGAACTTAGGAAGATGAATCTTCTTGACTATCTACTTCACCTCCATGCTACCTAATTATCAGTTAGCCAACACTTACTGATGTGCTCTACATTAGTACTTTATGCTGGTACCAGATGTAGTATGAGACAGGATTCTGATCCTTAAGAAGTTTACATTTTAGCTGAGAAAGACAGGACTAACATGCATAGAGATCACACTATGTTGGTCTTTAAGAGACCTAAGAAACCATCTAATCCCCTCCTCTTACTTCACAGGTAAGGAAATCAATACCTGGGTGACTTGTCCATGCTCACACAGGCAAAACATAGCAGAGCTAGAATTAAAATCCAGTTTCTTAGATTTCCAATCCAGGGCTGTCCTGCATTCTTCAATTAATCAAACAATTTAGAGAATAATTCAGTTGGGAACAGTATAAATGAAAAATGAGTTCAAAGAAATGAAAGACCAATGAAGGCCAGCACAGAGATGCAGCCTGATATGGGAGGAGAATAGCATTTAGTCACTATTTAGATTTAGTCAGAAAAGGGTCAAGTATTGGCTCTCCTCTATAGGGAGACAACATGGCAGAATGCATACTGTTGAACTTGGAGTCTGGGTAGTAGTGAATTTGAATTCTGCCTCAGACACATACTAATTGGGTGCCACTGGGGAAATCACTTAACCTTTTCTAGCCTCAATTTTTTGTTGTTTAGTCATTTTTCAGTTCTTTCCAACTCTTTGTGACCCCATTTGAGGTTTTCTTGGAAGAGATACTGGAGTAGTTTGCCATTTCCTTCTCTAGCTCATTTTACAGATGAGGAAATTGAGGCAAATAAGGTTAAGTGACTTGCCCAGGGTCACACAGCTTGTAAGTGTCTGAGGCCATATTTAAACTCAGGAAGAGCAGTCTTCCTAACTCCAGGCCTGGCACTCAGTCCATTTCACCATCCACCCTATGTCTATGCTTGTAAAATGAAGGGTGGCAAATGCCATCTATCTCAAAGAGCTATTGTAAACACCAGATAAGAAAATGCACAAGATGTTCCCAAAGTCTTAGTGCAGTTACTAAGACTTCCATATATAAAGCACAATACAGATATTTAATGTTATTATTATTATTGTTGTTGTTGTTAGCTACCTGTGTGACCTTGAATAAGTCACCTTACCCCTTTGAGACTCAATTTTCTCATCTGTAAAATGATGGGGTTGAATTAGCTCTAAGGGACCCGTAAGGTCCCTGCTAGCTCTAAATTTGTGGTCCTATTTGGAGAAGGCTGTATGAATAAAGTGGGATATGAGTTAGTCCTTAAAAGACAGGCAAAATTTAGATAAACAAAGAGGAGAAAGAGCAGCACTCTAGTTTGGGGGGACAGTGTGAGTGCTAGCAGAATTAAATGGCATGTTTGGGGAACAGTGGAGAGGCTACCTACCCAAGTTGGAGGGAAAATTGGGGAGTAGTAGGAGATATGGTTGGGTAAGTTAGGGCAGGGCTTGGTTTTGGAGCGGTCGACAAAATCAGTCCCAATGAGGCCCTTTGTGTGCTGAATGCACTGGTTTGTGGGCACCTCTCCCATTATACTTGCTGCTGCTGACCTTCCCTGAACTGTACCAAAAAGCTTTTTGTGCCTGCCTGTGTTTTTAACCTTTCAAAGGGAAGGGAGATGGCTAAGTCGCCCCAAAGGTGAGAGTGTTTTCCATTCTTAAGGGATTAACCAGAAAAAGGTGAGCTGTGTTGGGAATGAATGGCATACAGCAGGGTAGGACTGCTAGAAGTGGTGTCAATGGGAACTCAAAATCCATCTTTAAATGACAGAGTCTGGTCTCAGAAAGGCCAGAATCCTTGATTTTCATTTCAGATAACGCCGCTATAAGTTTCTGAGGCTCGTTAATCTTAAGGTACTTTGCCCGACGATGGAGCTCCCTGAAGATTTTCCAAAGAAATGTCAATAGCATAATGTTTTCATTTCTTTCCTGTTTTTTTTTTGTACCAGTGTTCTTTTGTAGTTCTCTGCAAGTTAAGGATCTCTCCTTTGTATCATTAGATTGGGCATCTGTTCTTCCTCCTTGAAAACACATGGGGGAGGGGTGGGAGGAAAAAAATGGGTTTCAGTATCTGTCAGATTCAAGCCTTCTCAGAAACAAATTTCGGCCCCCTTTCCTATGCAGACATAATCTCATGCCAGGTGGAAACAGACCCTGACTGCTTTATGGCATTTCCAATAGACTGTAACCTTGATGTTCATTTAGCTCTCTGGGAGGGATGCACAGATGTGTGAGGTATGCGGGGAAGACTCAACAACTTAATAAGGCCTTAACGCTTTTTTTTTTTTACAGCTCTCATATGCTGTGTAAAAAAAAAATTAATTGTAGCAGGGATCACGACTCCTTGGGTAATGGAATTAATGAAGATCATAGCCGGTAGGCCTCTGGGAATGAAATGCAAGCCATCAACGACTATAGAACAAAAAGCACAAGCAGTGCCCAGGGATGGGTCGAAACTCAGGTCGATAAAGGACCAGCTGTGAGTAAATGGAGTCCTTCGCCGGCTTCCCCCAAACTTTAGTATTGATTGGCCATAAGCAGGCTGGCCATTATGAAAATCTGTCACCTGGGAAAATGTTTTGCCTTAGGGACCTGATCTTTAGATAGAAAGCCAGAACAGAGAAGCTTCCTGCTCTCTGGCCTGAAGAGGATGGCTTTATGTGCCATTAGCTCTTATTTATTTGGGGTGCTGATTATGGGTGCTTGAAGACTACCCAGGATCTCCCTCTGTCTCTCTCTTCTGTCTGGAATGTTGATGGTGTGGTCTGTTTAACCACTTTCTTCCCTTGTGGTATAGAGCAGTGGGATTAAACTCAAATAAAAATGATGGGGAAATAGAGTGGAGGAGTAAACCACGGATAAGGATTCTTCTGGGGTCCCATACTAACTTGGTTTTAAAATGCAATGTTATCTGTATTTTATTATGTTTTTATTTATTTTGTTCAATACATGCCAATTACATTTTAATACTCAGAAGTGTTGTGGGACTCACGGTTGACCCCTTTGGTATAGTGGAAACAATTCTTGACTTATAGTCAGGAGAGATCCAAGTTTGAAACTCAGTTCCAACATTTTTGAACCGAGTGGCTATGGGCAAGTCACTTCCCTTCTCTGACTTTAAGTTTTCTCTCTGTAAAATAGGAAATGACAGTACTTAACCTCCCTGGATATTTGTAAGGATCAAATGAGATAAATGTATATAAAATGCTTTGCAAATCTCAACATGTTTTCAGCCATTATGGTGCTGCTGCTGCTGCTGCACACAGAGGAAGGTGACAAGAATGTTGAGAAGATGAGAAACCATGACATCAAAAATATTAATAGTAATAGTGATAATAATAGTTATATATGGATTAGAGAGGGCAGCTAGGTGGAGAAGTGGATAGGGTGGCAGTCCTGTAGTCAGGAAGACTCATCTTCCCAAGTTTGAAGCCTCAGACACTTACTAGCTGTGTGACCCTGGGCAAGTCACCTAACCCTGTTTGCCTCAGTTTTCTCATTTGTAAAATGAACTGAAGAAGGAAATGGCAAACTACTCTGGTATCTTTCCCAAGACAACTGCAATTAGGGTCACAAAGAGCAGGACATGACTGAAAAATAACTGAACAACAACATGGGTTATAGAAACAAAATAAAATTAAATTCATGAGTTGTTGTTATTCTTTAATATTTGTGGTTGAAATGAAAAACTGTAAATAAATATCAGTTGCAAGTATGCCTCCTCCATGCCTGTAAGAGAGCCTCCAATGTTCTTCCTCCTCAGTTCTACCTACAAGCTTCCTGTAAAATTCAGCTCAAATCTCACTTTCTGTTGGAGATCTTTCCTGATTCCCTTACTGCTAATACCTTCCATCTGAGTCACTTAAATGCTATTTTAATCTTCTGTTCTTAAATTCTATGCCTCAGTTTCTTCATCTGTAAAAGCAATAGTAGCACCTATCTCTAAGGGGTGTTGTGAAGATCAAATTAGGTATTAGTAAGTACTTTGCAAACATTAAAGCACTGTATAAATGATTATCAATCAATCAACATTTATGAAGCTCCTACTATATGCTAGGCAATGTGCTAAGCTTTGGGGACACAAAGAGGTAAAAGATAGTCCCTTATCTGAAGGAGTTCATAATCTAATGGGGGAGACAAGATACAAACAAATTTACACAAAGCCAATTATATTAAGGATAAATAGGGAATAATTAATAGAGGGAAGGTACTAGAACTAAGAGGGAGAAAGCTTCTAGTAAAAGATGGGATTTAGTTGGGACTTGAAGGCAGCCAGGGAGATCATTATCATCAACATTTCTACTATTAATATCATTATGTCTTCTGAGGTCCTTTCCATCTCTGAAGTCCAGTGACTCTAATTCACTGATCATAAGGGAGGTATTATTCACTTTGGACATTAACTTCACCCTAAACTAGTTTTAATAGGAGCAAGACGTGCTCAGATAAGGATGAAAAGAAGCTGTAGTAAGTGGAAGATATGGTGCTAGCCCTGCAAGCCTGGCATCTTTTTGTCTCTTGAGGTGATCTTGCTAAAGCTCTGTTGATTATTTCTCTGTTTGTTGTTTTGTTGCTGTTCAGTCATTTTTCAGTCATGTCTGGCTCTTTGTGACCCATTCTTTGGGTTTTCTTGGCAAAGATACTGGAGTGGTTTGCCATTTATTTCTTCAGCTCATTTTATAGGTGAGGAAACTGAGGCAAACAGTATTAAATGTCTTGCCCAGGGCCACACAGTTAGTAAGTGTCTAAGGCCACATTTGAACTTAGGTCTTCTTGACTTCTGGCTCAGCACTCTATCCATTGTGCCACCTAGCTGCCCATTAAGACCCTTCCTATACCACATAATTTACAAGATCCTGGGAGATCATTAAAAAGCCCCCTAGCAAAGTGATATACGTTGTAGTTTCCTGATCCTTCTTCCTTTTTTACATTATTATTATTATTGTATTCATCATCATTATTATTATTACTGAGCCCTACTGAAGCAAAAGCCCCTCTTCCTTCCAGGGAGTGTCTTGAATTTTCTGGGCCCAAGTAGCTGGAGGTTAGTGGATAGTCATTCAGGGTCTACTCTACACAGATCTGTCTGTGCTGTACACAGGAGACTTTTGCTGTTTTATGGTTTGCTGTGATGTGATTTATTTTCAACTCCATCAACGGTTTCCCCACACCTTTGAAAAGCCAAAGGGACACAGATGGATGCAGGGATACCTGTGTTATCCTGCCCTTGGGACTGTAGCAATGTGCCACAATGACTTCATGCTGCCTGTCTCCTCCTCACCTTTGAGACATCTTCTCTTTCTCCTCGCGTGTGCCTATTCATCTCAGAATACATGATGCTGCCCAGAGTGCTCTGGGGAATCCTTTCTAATCCCTGAAAGGGTCAGATAAGGTGCCTTTATAAATCTGTCTTCTTTGGGGCCTTGCTAGATACAGTCAGTTGAGAGGCATTCTTGCCAATTTAATTCAATTCAAATCAACAGAAAATGTACTGAGTATAATATAAGAAGCATTTTGATAGATGGGGGGTGGGGGATGTGATGCCAGTGGAGGGCAAAGGATACATATATAAGACATAATTCCAGGCCTTTTGAGCTTATAATTAAATATGGGATGAGCAGTTAATTCCATAAATATATACAGCACAAAGAAGAATATGGTATATGCTGTAAGAGGAGTTGCAGCAGAGGGCTTGTGTGCCCCCCCCCCCCGGTCTCTATAACCCTTAATCTATGTACCTTTCAGAATAGATGCTAGAAAGGGTTGGATGGCTCACAGAACAGAAAAAATGCTGGGCCAGACATCAAAACCTGGATTTTTGTCCCAGCTCTGCCAATTATGTGAGTTAGGGCCCTATAATATAGTCTGCTTACCTCCTTGCCCTGTATTCCTCTAATATTGGCAATTGAGTCTGCTTAAAGCCCAGGGGTGGAGAATTTGTAGCCTGGAGGCCACATGTGACCCTCTAGGTGCTCAGGTATGGCCTTTTGGCTGAATCCAAGTTTTACAGAACAAATCCTTCTATTAACGGGATTTGCTTTGTGAAGTTTGGGTTCAAAGGGCCACACTTGAGGACCCAGAGGGCCACATGTGGCCTCCAGGCTGCAGTTTCCCCTCCCCTGGACCATAGCCTATAGAATTAGCCTCAGTTCCAATCATCTGCAAGTCTAGTCCACCTAGTCAGCTCATGATCCCTTGTTATGTTAACAGAGGCAATAGTGATGGGCTGAGCATCTCCCAAGGCTCTGTCTTGGGTTTGGCTTCTCCTTTTCCTCTATGCTATTTTCCTTGGTGATCTCATCTGCTCCCAAGGATTCATCTTTATACCAATGATTTTCTCTCCTAATCTTCAGTCTCAGATCTCCAACCTATTGGACATCTCAAATGGTATATCCCATAGACATCTTAAGCTCAACACATCCAAAACATGTCCAAGCCCTCCCCTCTGCCTAAATTTCCTGTTGCTGTGGAAGGCACCATCACCCTCCCAGTCACCTTGACTCACTTGGGTGTCATCCACCCCTCTGTCAGTGCCCATGATACTGTTTGTTACAGTAACTTAAAAAATTCTTATTTGAATGAAAAAGTCTTTGCTAGGCTATTATAGTATGTGTCAAGCACTATGCTAAGTCCTTTGGATACAAATAAGGGAAGAATAAAAGAAGTAAGCATTTATCTTTTTTTCCCCTTCCACATGCAAATCTTTATTATTATTATTATTATTTTTTATTTTTTTATTTTTTCCATATGCTTTTCAGTTGAAAATTTTTCTCCCTTTTCCTCCCCCCCCCGCCAAGATGGCATATAATCTGATATAGGCTTTACATTTACATACCCATTAAACATATTTTCACATTAGTGAAGTTGTAAGTAAAAATTAAAACCAATAGGAGGAACCATCAGAAAGATTAAACAAAATTCAACAGAAGGTAAAAATAAGTGATAGCGATTTGACTTCCATAGTTCTTTCTTTGGATGTGGACAGCATTTTCCATCCTGAGGCCTCTGGAGATGTCTTAGATCCTCGTAATGCTGAGAAGGGTTCAGTTTAACAGTCTTAGTCATTGCATAATGTGGCTGTTATTGTGTACAAAGTCCTTTTGGTTCCGCTCACTTCACTCAGCATATAAGTCTTTCCAGGTTTTTCTGAAGTCAGCCTGTTCATCATTTCTTATAGCACAATAGTATTCCAGAAACAAGCACTTATTAAGAGCTTATTTACTATGCTCCAGGCACTGTGCTAAGTGTTTTTACTGTGAGGTAGGTGCTATTATTATCCCTGTTTTACAATCAAGGATACTGAGTCAGACTCAAGTTAAGTGACATGCTCAGTTACAAATCTAGTAAGTGTTTGAGTCAGGATCTAAATTCAGGTTTTCTTGACTTCTGGCTCAGTGCTCTATCCACTATACCACAAGAAGATCTTCATCTTCAGGAGCTTACATTCTTTTTTTAAAAATGTTATTTTATTTTTAATTT